TCTACATATATATCCAGCAGCAATCCAATAAAGTGCTTTGCTATGGGGGGGGTGGGGGGGGAGCAATGTTGCGGATCCTGAAATCCGCGGTGCACCGCGGAGGTTAGACTTATAATCGGCGAACATTTTTTAGCATCGACGCATTGTGCCTTGGATTATTGGAGGAATTGACCACGAGATTCCATTTATGTGTGCAAATTTTGCAGATTGCAGGGGTAAGCGTGGCACGTGACTAGCGGCGAAGTGAATATTGATGTATTTTGAGGTGATGAGTATTTCCTCGACTCGTAGCAAATCTGCCATATGCATCTATCTGTGTTATAGATATATATTTTTTGGGGGAAAAAAATATTACACTTGATTCCCAAGTCTAAAAAGTATAAACATCCTTTTCTACTGTACAAATCATATCAACGCAGCTAGTGTGTGCGTGGGGCGTAAAGCATAATAAATACATTAAAATGCTAACTAATAAGCATCTTACCGTACAGACGAGGCAATAAAGAAGGCTGTCTCTGGTGTAGGCCAATGCAGATATCAGAGCATTTTTGTTTGCATGTTTTGCCACGAGTAATGTGTGGTTAATGCGGACCTGATGCCTTGCAAAAGTTATCATTATTTGGTGTTTGAGCATCGTAACACAAGCCCCTGTTTTATTGTCAGAAAGGGTAAAAACCATTTCCGATTTTTCATCATTTTTTTTTTAATGCGGGCAAAAAAAAAGGTATCCCGTAGATATCTTACCATCGCGTTATCCCTGCAGCTCCGTTCCTGCAGCTCCGCGTTGGCCCCGGCCACTTCCCTACGGATCACGGTTTTTGCGATCCGCGAATCACCAATGGTCTGTGAATGACGGGGATTCGCGCATTTTTCGATCGCTTATTATGGCATAATATAAAATCGTCATATTCTCACCTATGATTGCTCATACTCTGTATTGATCGCAGCATAAACGTTGGAGGGTCGTACATTGGGATGTTTGGCCAGTCCAATTCCATTATTGATCGTTTGGCTTCATGCGGTAGGAAACCGGAGGAAATCCAACATGAGAAAGGATGACATTCAATGCTGCATACAGATAGATTCAAAATGCCATTGCCGTACTGCTCTCTCCTTGCCACCTCGCAGCCCAAGCCCACAACACCTGGCATTCCCTGGCAGTCTCCCGTTGCGAGCAGAGCCATCCCTTTCTGGTACGTTGAATCAGGGCGACCGCCCTGGCCCCACGCTTCGTCGTGGTGTCAGAAGTAATACTTCTGGTTTAGTGTGAAGGCGTCAGGGGTAGGGGGGGGTGTCCACACTTTGTGAATTTTCCATGGGCCCCGCACCCCCGCTATGGACGGCCCTGCATGCGAGTGCTAACCAGGCCGGCTTCTGCTTAGCTTGCGAGGTCCGACAAGGTCGAGCGCAATTCGGGGCGAGTCAGTCATAGGCTGTATTCTGCGCACACCTTAAGGCTTGTAAATAAAATACAAGCTCAGCCCATCATCGTTAAGCATGCTGCCGTTCGTGAAATGAACACCATATGGTGCAGGGAAGTCAACATTGGTTGTATTTAATGATCTTGAGCCCTGATAGACCCAGCTCATCAGTTATCCCTTCTCCGCCAATAACATTGAGAACTGCCTCGCGCACGAACATCATCGGCCTACCGTGGGACTGGAGCCAACCTGGGAGACAGACCATGGTGGATATGCACTATTGTGGCTGAAACGTGTGTTAAGTGTATTTGGCTGCTAGCAATGTCCACATGATAAGCCACTTAGTTGAGCTATCATTTGTGGCCAGGTTGCTTCTGAAAAAGAGCTACATATAGCTTAGTGGGCCTTACCTGGTAAAATACCAAAAAAATTAGGTTTAGTTTCTCAAACACCGCGGCCTTGGACTGTGCTCAACGTGGTGGCGTGCTGCACGTATGTACCGTATGTTGAACTTCTTTCGCACCGTACATAGCCAACCGTGCTAATCGAAGGTTCTGAGGACATGGGGTCACCTGTCGACGTCTACGTGGAGACCGCCAAGTCCCGGCCAGGGGCAAGCCACTGATCACGATGACAATAATGATGATTGTAAGGTATTTGAGTTGGTCACCATTGGCAGAGATTGTCTCCTGTCACAGAAATGTGGATATTCCACGAATGACTCGAGGCTGCCAACACTGATGAGTGCTGCCCAGTGCTTCTGTATGGACTTTTTTTTTTGGGGGGGGGGGAGGGTGGGGGGGTCACCGATTTCTCTTTCGTAGAAAAGATGGGCGGTGGGGGTTGTCAATTACAATTTGTGCATCTAAATGTGGGGAGGGAGGGGGGGGGGTTTGAACGACGCATCGGTCCAATAATATCGATTCGTATCGATTCCTAAACTGACCAGTACATGCGTTGAACGGCATACGTTGTAACACGCACACACCTCACAAATGCTACACGTAATAATTTCATTCCAGACTCGTTAATCGTGACCACGAATCGCGACGGTTCACGAAATTGCCAAGGAGGGCGGCGGCGGGGGCGGCTGGTGGGGGTTGGGGTTGGGGTGAATTGTGAAAAGTTCCACCCCGTGTTTAAATGTGACCTTATTTCAAGACGACGTAAAAATGCCCCCCATTTAAAAAAAAATAGGGGGCATTCACATGAAGAAGCGTATCAGAGGAGGGGAAGCCGCTCTCCCTTTATTTTCACAGAACGCAGTTGCGGTAGGTAGAAGAGAGGCCAGAGGGCAGTGAAGAGAGATGATAGAACGGCAGGGTGCTGTTAAGGACGTACAAAAGAGAGAGACGGACAGACAGACAGTCGTAGGCAGAGGAGAAAAGGGAGGTCATGAACCCGCACTTGAACAGGGTAAGGGGGTGGTTAGACATTGCGGGTGGCTGGCGGGAGGGAATCTCAAACCTGTTTGCCCCGTGCATTGTGTTGTGCATCGGGCGGCACGTATTTTCGCGTGTAGTTAATTGAATCGAAATGGGTCAATGGCAAGTGACAAGCCACTAAAGCAGCACAACATCACCCCCTCCCCGCCACCACCATGCCAACACCACAACACCACTACTGCCGCTACCGTGACCGCCGCCAACACCACAGATACAAGTACCACTTCACTGTAACTATCACCGCAATTACGACCACAACCACCATAACCGCTATTCCATCGACTACCATCACTACAACCAGCACAACTACCACTGTCACGACCACTATGACCTCTGCACTTCCGATTAGCACGGTTGGCTACGTATGGCGCGAAAGAAGTTCAACATACATACATGACCGCCACCACTATTTCCACCACTACAGCTGCTGCTGAATAAACGGTCACGAACTTCACCGCCTCCACCACAACAACAATAATTCGGCTACCTCCATCAACACCACTACTACCACCACTTACTACCACAGCTACCACAGTCACAACCACTACCTCTATCAATACCATTCATATATGAAAACAGCCACCACTACGACCCCGACCACCACCATCAAGACCACTACCACCACAACTCTTGCCACCAACGCCGCAACAATAAGCACACCTACGATTACTGCAACACCACTACAACCACCCACACCACAAAAAACATCACAACCACCACCAAAGACAAAGATACCCCGTATAGCCTTAGCAGACTGTCGGGGCAAGTGCTGTTATCGAGCACCTATGAAGGCTGGCACCGCACACGTGGGGGAGGTGGGGGGGGTGGTGGTCAGCACCACCACCATTGTCACAGCCACCAACCACTACAATTTACCCACCAACCACTACAATTTACCCACCAACCACTACAATTTACCCACCAACCACCACCACCACCACCCCTCTCTCACTGCCCTTGCACCCACCCCATTCCCACCCCCCCCCCCCCCCCCCCCAGTCCCTCCCCAGCCTCCCGGCTCTCACCCCGTGAAATTGAAATCCGCCACACGCCCACGTTTTGCTGCAGTGCGATTGACTGTAATGAGCAGCGACGGTTTTGTTCTCAGACGCGAGCGAACGCGCTCACCACCGGAATTCCCCTGCACTGAGACGCCAGAGACAGAGAGACAGAGGCGCACGCATGCTCCCATCATTGCTCTCTGCGTTACAGCGGGCCCGTAGCGTCGCAACGTTATAGCGGTATCGCAGCTTCACAGCGCGATTGTCAACGTCACCTGCAGCCTCGTAGTTTCTCAACGTTACTGCCTGCGTTACAGCGGCCCAGTAGCGTTGCCACGTTACAGTGGCATTGTATCCTCTCTAAGTTACTGTCTGCGTTACAGCGGCCCCTTAGCGTCGCAACGTAAACAGCGGCATCATAGCTTCACAACGTTATTGTCTGCGTTACAGCGGGCCCCGTAGCGTAGTAAAGTAACGGCGGCCCCGAAACGTCGCAACATTACAGCAGCTTCATTGGTTGCCAACGTTACTGTTAACGTTACCGACAGCCTCATAGTTTCTCGTAGCCCCGGCGGCATCGTGGCTTCGCAACGTTTCTGTGACCGAGTAGCCTTCTCAACATTGCACGTTTCCGTACCAGCAGCCCATGCCTTCTCAACGTTGCAGAAGCCGTAGCTTCTCACCATTGCAGTCATCTAGTAGATTTTTACTGTGACGATCAACATAACAATCAATCTTCTTTGGTTCTTTCGGTAAAGTCACGTAGAATGAGAATAAAATAATAAATTGATCAAATAAAATAACACAATAATATTCTCACGACGTTTCGGCCACAACACAAGCGGCCTTCATCAGGTGAAGGGGGCGAGACTGTCGTGAGAATATTATTGTGTTATTTTATTTTATCAATTTATTATTTTATTCTCATTCTACGTGACTTTACCGAAAGAACCAAAGAAGATGAATCATTGCAGTCACGAAAGCTTTAAATCGAAATATAACAATCAATGTTTAGGGCAGCCCCATCGTGTCATGTGCCGTGCCAGCCGTCATAGGCGCTCAGAGTCTATTAAAGCTATAGGCGGGGGGGGGGATCTTTGGTCATCCTTGTCTTTTTGTTTGTGTCCGCGCAGCAAGAAGGGCTTCGACGTGCGCTCGTTCGGCACGGGGACGCACGTGAAGCTGCCGGGCCCCTCACCCGACAAGCCCAACATCTATGAGTTCAAGACACCCTACGACGCGATGTACCAGGACCTTCTGCAGCGCGACAAGGACCTGTATCCTCGAGAGGGCCATCGAGCGCACACAGGCCTGTGCAACTGCACCAGGGCCCACGGACGGACCGTGGCGGGCAAGGTGTTGGGCGGCGAAGAGCGGGGAACTTTGACGGTGGAGAGGGGGCGGGGGGGGGCATTGCATTCCATTCCTTGCACACCGGGGGCCCCTGCCAAGGACGTTACACCGCTGCTCAGAGGTCTAACTCTGTCTCACTTAGCTCGCACCCACAGCTAAATGCCTGGGTTCGATTGCTGGTTTGCTACCTGTGATGAAACCAAGCTAGATAGCTAGTCACCAATAGCTAAACAAAATACTGGCATTGAAATTTGATCCTTCGCATAATTCGACTACATTCCAACTCTTGGTATGACTGCCATGTGATGAGCAATGTGTTTTTTTTTGTCATTTAAGAGTGCATTTGGGATAGTGCGCCCTCTAGTGTGGATAAGAAGTCACATTAAGGCAGTGGCCCTTAACCTGGGGTGCACGCACCCTCTGGGGGTGTGAGATGCCCTTTCTGAGGGTGTGAGACATGGCCACATTTTTTCACAAGGTAAATAATCGAAAACACAAATTAACCACGGACGCGCAAGTACAACTACTTTGTTTAATCAAACCTATGTATTAACGTAATTTTGTTTTTTTTTACGCTTGAGAACCAAAGGGATGCGATGCTGCAGTAGAGGTTAAGAACCGCTGCTTTAAGGGATCTGCTGACGTGGCGTGATGCTCCGCTCACCAATTTCTAGAGGGACATCCCAGCCATCTCGTAACACGAAGTTGACAAAGGATCACAATTCTCAATGAAGCCAAAAGTCAAAGCCTTTCCCAGCTCAAGGGAGCAACGGGGAAAAGCTCGTATCCAGTAGTGGCCCTGCGCCGGCTGTTATAAATTCCACATAACCCTGATGGGGACCTGTCTTACCATAGCCTATAAATTCATGGCCTTATTAAGTCAGAATCGTGACTGCAGCTGGCATCCCCAAGGCCAGTGGTAGAAATTCCACATTCATCATCAAGCAAATTGTATCAAACATTTCAACACGTGGTATCGTGCCACATGGGTAGACTCGGCCTTACCCAGCGTTGGGGAAACTTATGGCCTATGAGCCGTACCAGGCCCATGCCTTCAGTTCACATGGCCGACGGCCGCATAAGGCCTAGCGCTTTTAAACTCGTTTCTTCAGAACTGCTTTTTTTTGTTTAGTTTGTTGTCCTTCCCTCGCATCTCCGATTAGCACGGTTGGCTACGTACAGTGCGAAAGAAGTTATATATAACACGTAGGCTTTCGCGACCAATATTGTTCATGATAAAGGTATTTGGGTTAGATCGCGTTATTTATAAATGTACAGGCTTAGTGTGGCTTGGAAGCGTATTATTAGATAATACATATTACAATTCCTTATGGGGGAAACACATACTAATTAACGGATCACTAACGTAGCATATAATCACAATAACACACATTACAACTAATTACTAATCTACAACTCATTACTAATCATAACCATTGACTGATTACCAATCGATTATATAATTACAATACCCCCCCTCCGCCTCAAATCACTTCACCTGAAATGAGTTAAATGATGACGTCACCCTGCTGCTCTATTTAAGACCGGGAGCAAGTGAGGGCTTTACCATTCTGGCGAATTGCCCGATGATGCTAGATGTAATTACCAGCGAAACGTCGTACTCAAACTGTAAATGTTGTGGATTCACTCTTCAACACACCGGTGTGCTGAAGTAGTGAACTATTTGTCTTTTGTGACACTTTTTTGCTGATTGGCCGTGTCGGGTAGTGGAGGGTTATGACACATTTATAAATAACGCGATCTAACCCAAAAACCTTTATTATGAAGTTATATATACATACAAATTACCTGCAAACAATATTTATCCATCACTGGAAGCGTTTTAGCCACACTAATCAGGTACTAGAGAGGATGAATATTGTTTTGACCTGGCACCAACACTGCGTTTCCAATTTTTTCACCATGCCCAGGCACTTCCGTCATTGCAAGCATCTTGACCACACTCATTTGGTGCTGGAGGGAAATATTTTCTGGGATATATAACAAGGGCGTCTTGCAATGACGGGAGTAACTGAGTTGCCTGTGTTAATGCATGGCCCAACTAAGAGTATTTGAAAGCCATATTGTATTTATGTTGAACTTATTTTGTACCGTACGTAGTCCAGCGTGCTAATTGGGGTGCAGAGGTAGGACAACAAACTAAAGACAAAAAGCAGTTCTGAAGAAATGAGTTTTCAAGTATCATGGTGTAGTGTAAAGTAGTGTATAGTGTACCGTACTCTGCAGTGTATAATAGTGCAGTATGTATGCTGAACTTCCTTTGCACCGTACGTAGCCAACCGTGTAAAGTAAATTTGCCCACCCCCTGGCCTAAAAAAAAACTACAGATGGTTCTATGCCGGGTGGAGGAGGTTGGCGGTAAGCACCGGTTCACTCGCTGCCAAAGTCACACACGTTGTGAGGGTGCAGTTAATATCGCTGTCGATGCTTTTGTGTGCACTCGCCCCCGCCCAGCCACTTACGAGGGTCGTAGGGTCATCGCGCATTGTGAGCGGTCGTCAGGGGCTTTGAAAGTAAATCAGCCTAACGGGGCTACTCAATTACCGTTCCAGTCCTATCTCTAGGCCGCCCCGCCACGCACTCCTAAAAACCGCCCCCCCCATCGCTCTCGAAATTCCGTCCCCCTCTCTACCCCCCCCCCCCCACCTGGTGCGCAATCACACAGCTCCCGCCTCCCCTCCATCTCTACGCCCCCCCCCCCTCCCCCTCCTTTTATCTCCTTGCATCAACGTCTCCCTCCGTCTGCTCGTCCGATATTAAGTGATTTTTTTTTATCCGCGGCGGTTAAATAGGTCGGCCACTGGGGGCCCTCTTAATAGCCATAATTCATTGCTCGCCGGTTGGGAATTCGATTGGCGCCCCCTCCCCTGGGTGTTGTGTTTGTGCTGTCGATGCACTCCCCGGGCGCGGCGGGGTAAGTGATTGGGAAGTTGTGACCTTAAGTCGGCGGGGACGGGAGGACAAAGCGTTCGCTGTGCTCGGCAGAAAGCGCGACCAGTGGCGGGCCGACCGGCGGCAGTGTCGTTGTGGGTTCTCCACCGGGGGGTTTTTTTTTTTTCCATTTTTTTATTTTTATTTTATTTTACATTTTTTTATTTTTATTTTATTTTCCATTTTTTTATTTTTATTTTTTTTTTCATTTTTTTATTTTTATTTTTTTCCCCCCCCCGCCCGAGCGTGGTTGCGCCGTAGCGCGTGATGTAACCCGGAGTTGATGGATCGCTTGCGTGCGCGATGTAGCGACCGGGCTCGCGATGTACGTGCGCGAGGCATTCCACAGCTTGACGACGGACCCTCCCAACGCTGCACGGGTCACGTTTTTTTCGAGTGGCTTGCTGTTACGCGCGTCGAGATAGCGCGCGCAGGAACTCTTGCAAGATTCACGATTGTTTGTGATTATTTCTTGGAAACGAGGCATGTAATTGTTCAACCACCCCACCTAAGCATTGTGTTTGTTTTATCTGCCTCTCGTCTTATTTTGTCTCATTCATTCTTTTTTGCTTATGTGTACTATTTACCTCCCATTTACAATAGATTGACTTAATCGTAAATAATCGATTCCTGAATGCACAATTCCCTCTGTATTCTGAGCACGCGTATCCATTTTAATCGATGATATTGTTTCCATATCCAATGGAAATGATCACACTATCTATCGAATCTAATTGCACAACAGCCGATTCGTCAATTTGTATCCACCCAATCGTGACAATCCTCCGACATGTGGAGATGGCGGCAATCGTTACAGTTCTTTATTCGCTCGTGATTTACTTGCAGATGTCTACGTAGCCTTTTGATGTAAGTACGGCAAGTAGGTTGCCGACTTGCCTATAACTCTCTCTCTCTCTTTCGACGTGGATTTTTATGTTTTCCAATTCTGTGTATGCCGCTGGCCTCGTGCCACGACAGATTTACTGTTCGGAGCTCTGTCGGCAGCGGGGTAGAGAATGGTCCCGGAAGGTGATGTAACTAAACTGCTTCTGAAATCACTTCATTAGGCCTCTCTTCTCCGCCCTGTGTGGCACACGATATATATATCCGCCCCGGCGGTGACTGTGGCATGATTGCCGTATTCGACTTTGCACTTTGTAACGATTTGCTCTTTTTTGTTTTCCCCGCGATTTCATTCCCGATTGCGCAATTTGGCGCCACGCCCCAAGACGGAGGATCCGTTGAGATTGCAACCCCTTTAGTTTCAGAGAACGGCGCGCAGAAGTGGATCTCGCGGAGCTCCATCTGGGATTCCTTTCAAGTTGACCCCTGGTCCACAAAGTGTGGCAAAGCGCATTTCCCGCCCACTCTCAGTAACGTTTATGACGTAACAATTAAACCGATAGTTTAAATTCTCGTAGCTGAAATGTATAACCAATCAAAACGCAGAACCAAATTTCACGTGATGGATTTTTTGCGCGGTCGTTGGTGATTGGGCTCAGACCGTGCGACTCGCTACATCTGAGAACTTGATTTGACCATGGCCAGCCAAAACCTGGATGTGAACTCAAGATCTCAGTGTGCCAGTCAAGTGGCTACACCGTGGTATCAGCATGTTTGGATCATCCGACCACATCGTGTATCAGATATTTGAGTGTTTTCCACTGCTATGGGTGTGTTTCAACCAGGTAGCCTGGTTTCCCCATACATTTTTTTTTGCTCATTAAGGAATTGAATAAACGTTGGAATGCACTCAAAAATACACAGCAGAGGTCAGCAACCTACTTGCTCTACTACTTTCTGCAGGCTACCCTAAAGCACTAAATTAGTAAATTCATTGAACTGAAAATGCTGCTCGTCGAGAATAAAATAAAATGTTATTACCTGAATTGTTAACTATAAAAATTTGATGTTCTTGCTTGCCAGACAGTGATTCAATATGAAATTTGATTGTTCGGGAAAATACGATAACATTGCATGTAAAGACCTTGTTACACTTTCGTTGTATATATATTTAAGTAAACTATAAAAACATTTTACCAGGTAAGGCCCACTGAGCTATATAACTTTTTATCAGAAGCGACCTGGCTATAAATGATAGCTCAACGAAGTGGCTTATCACGTGGACAATTATAGAAGTTGAATACTCAAAACTAATGTTTATAAATGTGGAGGGAAAAACCAGAGGCCCCGGAAAAAAACCACACGACCACGGGGAGAGAGATTACGCAGATTCCAAATATACAGCAGCAGGCATTGTCAGGGCTGGATCGAACCAACTACCTCGCCTGCATACCAGGCGAGGTAGTTGGCATCTTGCTACCGTGATCCCCATATGTATGTGGAGATACAGAGCAGCGTGCTGCTGTACGGTATATTTGTGTTACCCTTAAAACGCCACAAGGTTTCCGCTCTCTATTCAGCCGGGGTGTTTGCCGCGATTGGAGCGCTTCACTCGCGATATGAAATCCCCTGAGTTCAAACCCCGTTCAAGGGTTGGCTCGGCAACGTAGTCCCCTCATAGTTCATCAAACCGAGTTACCGCAACGTGGGAAGTCGCCAACGGCAAAACCTACCCTCGGTGTGGAACTCTATCCCCTTTGTGCATCCGCAACATCAAATGCACTCTTGACTACCTTCAAGAAAACATCTAAAGGCTTCTTCTTGGCTCAGGGCTTTCGAGCGGCCCTTAGCTTGGCTCCGCGCCTCTGAGTTGTTGACTTGTCTGCAAAATCTGGCGCATTATAAACGTCATGATTATTTCCTAAGCTAAGCAGGGATTTATCCTAGATATATATGGTTAGAATGAATGACCTCGGTGCATAAACCAGATGTTGCAGGCTGCCGCGGGGCTACGTTAGCGGCAGAGGGCTGTGCGACCAAATCAAACTTTATTCTGGCCCTCTGCTCCAATCGTCGATGCTCCCCGACCTTGCCAACATGCGCTGACCAGCGTGCTTAAGTGCGGCTCAAATAACCCCCCAGGGTCCGCGCGTTGCAGGAGAGTCCTCGTCCAGCAGCGGATTGGCAAAACAAAAAAGGGGGCCGTTGCACGTAACGTATACGCGGACCCTATGGAGAGACGAACCCTCCGCCTTGAAGGTGTGTGGCCGATGACCGCCCCAGACTCGTTGAGACTTTGCAAGTTTCCCTTTTGGGAGCGCGGAATGGCAGAAGAGTGCTTCAGTCACATCTCGGGTTACAGGGATTAGACAGACAACAGAATGAGCAGCTGTTTATACAGCAGAGTATTGGCATACATACAGTGAGGGAAAAAAAGTATTTGATCCCCTGTTGATTTTGTACGTTTGCCCACTGACAAAGAAATTATCAGTCTATAATTTTAATGGTAGGTGTATTTGAACAGTGAGAGACAGAATAACAACAACAAAATCCAGAAAAACGCATGTCAAACATGTTATAAATTTATTTGCATTTTGATGAGGGAAATAAGTATTTGACCCCCTCTCAATCAGAAAGATTTCTGACTCCCAGGTGTCTTTTATACAGGTAACGAGCTGAGATTAGGAGCACACTCTTAAAGGGAGTGCTCCTAATCTCAGCTTGTTACCTGTATAAAAGACACCTGTCCACAGAAGCAATCAATCAGATTCCAAACTCTCCACTATGGCCAAGACCAAAGAGCTATCCAAGGATGTCAGGGACAAGATTGTAGACCTACACAAGGCTGGAATGGAATCAGCCCAGAACTACACGGGAGGATCTTGTCAATGATCTCAAGGCAGCTGGGACCATAGTCGTCAAGAAAACAATTGGTAACACACTACGCTGTGAAGGACTGAAATCCTGCAGCGCCCGCAAGGTCCCCCTGCTCAAGAAAGCACATATACATGCCCATCTGAAGTTTGCCAATGAACATCTGAATGATTTAGAGGACAGGACAACTTCACCGCATCAAAGGGACGATGGACAGGGCCATGTACCGTCAAATCTTGGGTGAGAACCTCCTTCCCTCAGCCAGGGCATTGAAAATGGGTCGTGGATGGGTATTCCAGCATGACAATGACCCAAAACACACGGCCAAGGCAACAAAGGAGTGGCTCAAGAAGAAGCACATTAAGGTCCTGGAGTGGCCTAGCCAATCTCCAGACCTTAATCCCATAGAAAATCTGTGGAGGGAGCTGAAGGTTCTAGTTGCCAAACGTCAGCCTCGAAACCTGTGGTAATTACCGTAATTACCGCGGGTCCCTTTGCAAAAAAAGTAATTAAGAATTTGTTGTCGATTAAATCAACTTTCCATCTTAGCTCTACTCAGTTGTATTGTACATTTGAAACTTAAAGGAACGCAACATCATTGGAAAATGCACGGGTGTAACTGCGTGGAAAAAAAAACTTAACGAAAAAACTAAATTCCATCAGGTTGTTTGAAAAAGCGAGAGCGGTAAAAAAATGCATGAATGATTAATTGGTGGCCATAAACAAGAGGGATTGTGTAACGCTATTTTCCTTTTTCTGTTTCGTCGTTCTTTCGTTCGTTCCTGAATCCGCTTGTCCTGGCGAGGGTCGCGGCGGCGGCGGCAGCATGTTGGGTAGTGGCGGTCCACACCTCCCTTTTCCTGGCGACGGACTCTAGCCCTTCCTGGGGGAATTCCCAGGCGTTTCCAGGCCAGCCAAGCAACATCGTTCCGCCAGCGTGTCCTGGGCCGGCCCTGGGGTCTTTGCCCAGTTGGACGTGTTTACGTGACAAACCTTAGTAATTGGCTGTGTCGTGTGGTGGCGGGTTTAATGACACATTTATATTTACGTGATCTAACCCAGAAAAAAAACTCTTAATGGGGAAAGTACATGTGCAAATTTGTAACTGACGAGAAAAATATACCGTGCTGATGAGTCCTAATCGGGACCAAACTAGTCCACAGCTGTCTATCACTGCATTACCGGTGCCTGTCAGTCAGTCACATTTGCTTACATTTATTATGATCGTTACCTGAGACAAGAGGACCACAATGCACTTCTTCTGGGAAATGCTGATAGTTTTGCATATTTACACGGAGGATGTGTGTTTTCAACAAAATGTGTGCTGTGTACACACGTGGTTTATTCTCATCTCTCCCAGCCTATGTACTACTTGTTCCTTAATTTCCTAACCTAACCTGACCCTACGCGATGATAGATACACACAAAACGGAATCCTGCACATGCTTGACCGCAACCGGCGCATCAAGCCGTGCCCGGAACGCTTCCAAGAGTGCCCCGACAGGTTTGCCAACCCCTTTCACTCCCATCGTGCATCACCTAATTATGGTCACACCGCTGTCGATCCGTTGAAAGGTGTTTGCCCTTCGTCGTTTGTCCATCGTGACTTTAACTCGAGAACCAAAACTGGTGCAAGGATGAGCAAGGCAGTGCCAGCAATCTCCCCTCAAAACCTGGGATTGTTTTTTTTATTGACAGGGTAGATACATGGAGCCTTATCAGACGAGAGGGCTAAATATGCCACGGAGCCATTGGTGGGTTGTAATTACTGACAAGAGATGCCTCTTGACGGACATCTGAATTACGATATATTTCAACTCAATGTCTGCTGGTAGAAGCCCTCCCCAAACTCACCACAGTGGCGAGATGTTGACTGCCTCGCCTGGTATACAGGAGGTCGTGGGTCCGATCCCGACCCTGACGCCTGCTGTATATTTGTAGTTTGCATGTCTCTCTCTCCATGTAATTACTGACAAGAGATGCCTCTTGACCGACATCTGAATTACGATATATTTCAACTCAATGTCTGCTGGTAGAAGGCCTCCCCAAACTCACCACAGTGGCGAGATGTTGACTGCCTCGCCTGGTCTACAGGAGGTCGTGGGTCTGATCCCGACCCTGACGCCTGCTGTATATTTGTAGTTTGCATGTCTCTCTCTCCATGGTCATGTGGATTTTTTTCTCTGGCTCCTCCGTTTTTTGTCCTGGGCCTTAAGAATCAACGTACCTTTAGAGTATTTGGCTGATGCTATAAATTTCCACGAGAAAAGCCACTTCGTTGTGCTATAATTTATGATAGCCAGGTCACTTCTGAACAAGAGCTACATAGCTCAGTGGACCTTACCCAGTAAAATCTAAAATAGTTTCGTTTATTAGTAGTTTAGTTTCAACTGTGTCCGTTGTAGTGGTAGTTGGGACCATGCTGCACCACTCTGGTCAGTGCAAGTTTGTGAAGGGGGAGGGGCACGCCCAGGACCGACGCAGCTATCACTCGCCACTGATGATAGCCGCGGGCCCAGAAATCTTAACTCGGATCACCGAGTGGTTAGCATGGAAACACATCTAGACAAACATGCGTCTGTACACGTGTTCACGGATGTACACCCACGTAGCTATGCACGCACATAGATGAACACATACACAAATCTGTGTACCTATCCACAAAACTATACAAATGTTATGGCCTTACACAGATTGGCTAGAGGGTGCTATGGTCGCCGCTATAACCAGCCATCTCTCTTCACAATGCTGATGTTTAACACACCACACTCGGTACTCATTAAAGGCTGAGTCGACCTAGCGGAGAGTCAGCACTAGTCTTTTTTTCAAAAATCTCATGCGCTCCACATGTTTGACACTGGGATGTGCGTGTCGTACGTTAGGTTTGACCTGATCCTGACGTGTGAAGAACGGGTTTACGACCAGGTCGTGGAAGGTAAGGGACCGTGCCGTTGCCCTCTCTCGGTTTTTACACGTAGGAGGCTTTTGCGACCAATATCATCCATAATACAGGTTTTTTTTTAGTTAGATTGCGTAAATATAATAATGTGTCGTCGTTAAACCCGCCGCCACCACCCGACACAGTAGTGTAGAGCACACCGGTATGTTGGAGAGCTAATCTACAACGTCATCGCATCTATCCCTCTGTTTAAGGAACGAAACAGGAGGAGGATTTCTCCACAGATCTGGCTGTCGCCTGATGAAGCTAGCTGTAATTACTGGCGAAACGTCGTACTCAGATTGTAAATGTTGTGGCTTTGCTCTCCAACACACCGGTGTGCTGGACTAGCAACGAATTGGCACGTTTTGTTTACGTGACAAACCTTACTAATTGGCTGTGTCGGGTGGTGGCGGGTTTAACGACACATTTACATATTTACGTGATCTAACCCAAAAAAACTGTATTGTGTCCTCTCTCTCGCATTAGATTCTTTACAGTTTCAAAATATCGAAGCATCTCCCTGTCATGAACTTCACTTGCACATTCAACAGTCCCCCTTAACCCCCTTCCATTTCTCTCTCAAAAACTCACCTCTTCTTCATCGCCCAATCTCTTCCTCTTCCCTCCCCTCGCCCCATCACTCCTTCCCCGTCCCTCCCCTGCCTTTTCTTGAACCGCTTTCTGTGTTTAGTTTGTTGTCCTTCCCCTGCACCTCCGATTAGCACGGTTGGCTACGTACGGTGCGAAAGAAGTTCAACATACCTAAGTACCCGGCTATTGCCTTTCACTCATTTCTCAATCCTTGTAGCGCGCCCCTGTCAACTGCATCATTCAATTTGGTGTCACCATTTTGTAAGCTACTTCAAACACCGCTCTATAAACATAATTAGATGAGAAATTGGAATTAGGTGAAACCGAGCACCACACGATGCTCGCCTCTCTTGGCAGCGAGGCTTTCCTGCATACATAATGATAATATATTTGAAATACCATCAGTGAGACTTCATTGAAATGTACGTTGTTGGTAGGCAGTTGACTCTGGCAATGAGACTCATCCTGGTATCCTGATGAGATCTCACCTGGTTAAACGCATTAACCCTCTAAACACTGGAGCACAGAGTTCAGAACCTGCGTCAGCGGTCTGTGCTCTCTACGGGGCTCTTATTGCGCTCCAATAAAAAACATTTTTAAATAAAAACGTGCATAAACTTGACTCGACTGGGCCTCACAGAGCCCACCACCAACCAAGGCGTCCCCGGTTGCTTTAGACAATTAATTTATAATATTTTCGCTGCTATAAATTTCCACGTCATAAGCCACTTGGTTGAGCGATCATGTGCAGCCAGGTCGCTTCTTAAAAAGAAGGTAATATAGCTCAGTTGGCTTTACCTGGTAATATAAAAAATAGTTTCGTTTTATTTTGATCGTTTTTAAAGTGCTTTGTTTACCTTTCCTATACTGTGCACTCCTATCGTGTTTGCGTATTTTTTTTCGTAACGTCCTGACCTCTATTGGACATCTGTGGAAAAGAGCTTCGTAGCTCATTGCATTCCTCCGGTATAAACGGGGAGGTCCCGTTCCCACGACCAACCTGTCGGCGTTCTGTCAAGCAGACCTGAGCGGCCGTGAGCAGGAGAGCTTCCAGCCGGTGCACGTCATCAACGTGGACGTGCAGGACAACCACGAGGACGCGACGCTCGGCGCCTTCCTCATCTGCGAGCTCTGCCAATGTGTGAGTGCGCTCCTCGGCAAATCGCCAAAAATCCGGCTCCGCTCACTATCGTCGCACGGTAACACGCGGGTGACATCGCACGGTAACGCGGGCGGCGTAGCACGGCAACGCGGGCGGCGTAGCACGGTAACGCGGGTGGCGTAGCACGGTAACACGGGTGACTTCACGGTAACGCGGGCGGCGTAGCACGGTAACGCGGGTGACTTCACGGTAACACGGGCGGCGTAGCACGGTAACGCGGGTGACTTCACGGTAACGCGGGTGGCGTAGCACGGTAACGCGGGCGGCGTAGCACGGTAACGCGGGTGACTTCACGGTAACGCGGGTGACATCGCACGGTAACGCGGGCGGCGTAGCACGGTAACGCAGGTGACTTCACGGTAACGCGGGTGGCGTAGCACGGTAACACGGGTGGCGTAGCACGGTAACGCGGGTGACTTCACGGTAACGCGGGTGACATCGCACGGTAACGCGGGCGGCGTAGCACGGTAACGCGGGTGACTTCACGGTAACGCGGGTGGCGTAGCACGGTAACACGGGTGACTTCACGGTAACGCGGGTGGCATAGCACGGTAACGCGGGTGACTTCACGGTAACACGGGCGGCGTAGCACGGTAACGCGGGTGACATCGCACGGTAACGCGGGTGGATTCACGGTAACGCGGGTGATGTAGCACGGTAACGCGGGCAGGGTTGCCCACATGCCAACACACGCAGCGTCGCACAGTGACACAGGCGAGGTATATGCGTATGAAGTCGTGGTGCACTGTTTGGCACACTGCGCTCTGAACCTTACGACTTCAGTTCAATTCCCAGCGGCGGCTAGCCTAGTTAGCGAGCGGTATCTAAATTGGTCCTGGGCCCCCGACCCTGACCAAAAGCACACTGACCAGTGTGAAGAAGTATGGTCAAACATCCCCCATAATCAATAAGCCACGGCGGAAGCCTCCACCCAGCAGTGGATTAACAAATGGCTGTAACTTATCAGAAAAAAAAATATATGTGATATTTGCCCTAACGCACCGCTTAATTTCCCATGCAAACAGCAACGTTTTAACTCCGAAGTTATCTTCTCATCACGTCTACCCATTAACTTGAGCTTGACCCGGGGAGGCTCGCTGCACGGAACTTTAAATACATCACGGGGCGGCATCCAGCACTCCTCTCGATAACCCCTCCCCCCCCGTGCCCCACGAGCATAAGAAAGGCTTCTCACAAAGCGTTTGACAAATAACAGCACCGTCGTTGTTACTGTTTATTTTTTAGCGGAGAGCCAGACCGCGATTGAATGTGGATCCTGAGGCTCATAGCGGAAGTGCTCTGTGCTTCACGATTTAACGGTGGTCATTTTGCGCTTTTTGACAATTTATTTCGGTTTGTGGAATTGCACGTGGCATGAAAAGCAATGTAGATTTAATCAGGAGGAGGTGGTTGCGATTGGTTCGGGGGCACGTGTGCAGGGTGGATGAGGAGGGCAGGGTACCGAGGAAGTCGGGCATTGGAGTGGCACCCAGAGCGACGGTGGTGTTGGTGGTTGCTGACTGTGGTGGTAACTGTAAAAGCGGCCGTTGAAGGATGTGTTGGACGTGTAACAACTACGCAATCCGGCGGAAAGAAATCATCGGCAAGGTGTTGTAGGATTGGCAGTCCAGGCCCATGGTAACCTCTTGACCTCAGCACCTTCACCTCATTTAACCGCCGAACACAGCCATAACCTTCATTAACATCGCTCCTCTGCCACCACATGTCCCCTTGACTTCACTTGTGCATGCGTGTGTTTGTGTGCGTATGGGGAGCGGTGGTGCAATGGTTAGCACGCTGCGCCACGAACTCGGTGACCCAAGTTCGGTTCCTGCTCGTGGTCAACACTAGTGGCGAATATCTGAACCGGTCCCGGTCCTCCCCTAGGTCGACTCAGCCTCAAATGAATGTATGCATGAATGTTGAACTTATTTCGCACCATACGTAGCCAACTGTGCTAATTGGAGGTGCGGAGGAAAGACAACAAAGTAAACACAGAAAGCAGAGCGCCTGGTGCAGTGTGTAAACTTAACCACTGGAGAGACAAAGGCGGCCGGGCGTGGTGCTGGCCACCCACCCCCACGTGTGCCGTGCGGGCCTTCACAGGTGCTGCTGCTCGCTAACAGCACTTGCACCAACACTCTGTTACAGGCTATCCGGGGTGGGATCTTTGTCTGTTTTTGTTTGTTTGTTTGTGCCGTTCTCATTCGCGAGCTGCAGATCCAGCTGACCGAGGACCTGGACAATGAGATCGACGAACTCGTGCAGGACTTTGAGGAGAAGAGCGGGAAGCTGATTCTGCACACGGTGTGCTTCTACTGATGGCCGCGTGGGGGGTTTCTCTCCGCGGGTACGAGGAGCTTTGGGGGGGGGGGCACGAGATGGGGCGGTGGGGGGTGAGATGGGAGGCGTCCCATCTTGCACTGGCACCCCCCCCCCCCCGCCTTTCCGCCATGCCCTCCCCGCCCCCCCCCCCTGCCAACCGGGATGACTCTTGGCTGACACTCGGCTGGCGTTGAGCTTGCCCACGGATGGCCGCACCGAACGCCCGAGACGATGCCATTGCAGTGCCATAGCTCGGTTGGCATGGGTCCCTGGTGCAAGGAATTAAATGGGATGCCCGCCCCCCCCCCTCCCTAGCTCCCCCTCCACCTTCCCCCCACCCCCCCCCCCACCCACCCCACCCTCGTGCACCGTCTGGGGGATTCTTCCAGCCCCCGTGGGCCGCGATGCAGTTGCACTGCCTGCACACTCGCCGGCCGTGCCGCTGCCCCGGTGAACCCCGGTTATTGCGGTCGCGACAGAAGGGAAGAGAATCGATCGCCGCCAAAGGTCGGGGTGGGGGGGGGGTGGGGGGAGGGGGTGGGGGGAGGGGGGGTCACGCACGTGATTGCGCAACGCAACCTCGCGTGTTTTTGCCGGTCCGCAGCAAAATGTCACAAGCCGTCGGTGTCCCATCTGCCGCAACTAATTAGACGGAGTAATTCTTCCTGCGTCTCTCCCAATTCCTCACAGGGTAGCTCCCCCCCCCCCCCCCCGCTACCAACACACCCACCCTCTAGCGTCAACCCCCCGCCTCTTGGAAGGGAGCAGATGTGAGTGAGTGAGCGGTACGTTGCCGTTTTGCTCATGGTAGAGTGGCGGGCACTGGTCGGATTGAAAAGCCGGAATGGATCGGGCGCACGGCGGAGCGGAGTGGGGTTCGGGCAACGGCTGCCGGGTCAGAAAGTTACAGCAACAAACAATACAAAAACACGATAGGCAGTGCAAAGTATAGGTAAGGTATGCAAGTCACAAAGGCTAAATACATACATACAATTGTTGTATGAAGTGTATAAGTAGAAATTGCTATAGTACATCAAATCCTGCCGATTTTTCATCAAGAAATGCAAGCATGGGCAGCTAAAAAAAAATAAAAACAGTCCCAGACCACGTCAAGACAACACACACAGCCCCTCAATAAAATTGCACGTTGAAATGTGAACTATCGAAACCTTCGGGGGGAGGGAGGGGGGGGCGTAAGGATCAAAAGTTACAAATCACAATTGCAAATGATCACACCAGGCTGACCCCACCGAGTCTCTCAAGACGCTTTTGCAGGAGGGTACTGCCCAGTTTTTCACAGTAAGGGGGCGGTGCTGCCGCTGCTGCTGCTGCTGCTGCGTGTGATTTCCAGGTAATTTTTCAGCTTTGGGATGTTTGGCCAACACAAGTTACACGGTACGTTTTTATCATTTTTTTTCCCACGGGTTTAAGTATCTATAGCCATGTGCGCATGTATCCTTATTTGTCTGTGCGTATATAGACGTGCGTATGTACGTAGGTAACAGCCTGTATCAATTAGGATCGCGGCATCTGTCTCCACACGTCACGCTCTACGGCTCCCCAAAATTCATTTCTCTGGACTTTCTACAGTTAATTTTTTTTAAATGGTAGTTGAGCCGCCGTTGACGCGCGATTGGCTCGCAGCCCAATAGACTAGAGTGCGAGGGAGCGACGCGGACAGAGCTAGCCGCCGTGGCCCTGTGGTTAAAGGCACTCGGCAAAGAATCAAGACGGCGAATTCACATCGTGGTTTTGGTGTGCGGTGGGGCGGCGGCGGGGGGGGGGAGTCCGATCTTTCGGTCAATTCTTTACGTTAAAGTTAATCACTGCTGTGCTAAGAAAGAGGTTGGATGCTGCCGTAATAACGCGGAATTTCCAGCGGTGAAGATGATGCGCTTGTTTGAGATGGGCAACGCCGACTTGAGACGGAGGCTAGAGGCAAGTGGGCAGTCTGCCCTCGGCCGAACACCTCTTTCACGTGGAATAAATGAACGCCGTCTCAATGTGCGCGGTCGAGCGTTGTGCAATGGTGATTACTCGTCACTATTCAAGGTCGCCGTTTGAGAATTTCCTAACGCTGCGAGTAAGGGTTTTGGCGCATTCGGTGAGAGAGCCGCAGTCCACGTGTGATGCAGACCTCAACTCACCCAAGGGCACAGAACCTTAACTCCAATCTTGGCGGAATTCTCAGCTCATGCGTTTCCAATCCATTTACAGAACCACGATGTAATGCGATGTGAATATGCAATATAAATAATAATTGAATAAACGCTAAGTAATGCTTAATGATTCTCTAAATGAGCCCTTGTTGTCTCGTCACGCCGTGTTAATTAAACACATTCTAAGGTCTCGTTGGAAGCCCTTGAACTCGGTGTTTGTTGTCCTTGAGTTTGTCTTGTGAGGACATTGTCCCGTGCGACAGCAGTCGTGAGATGTCGTCTCCCTCACCTGCTATGCAGGACGTCGTGGGTTCGATCCCGAGCCTGACGCCTGTATATTTCGAGTTTGCTTGCATCTCTCCCTGTGGTCGCGTAGATTTTTCTCCGGGTCCTCTGGTTTTTCCCTCCACGTATAAAAATTCGCGGATGAGATGAGAGTTCTGTGTCAGGTTGAGATGAGGTTTCTGTATGGGTTTAGATGAGGGTTCTCTATCGGATGACATGAGGGTTCTCTATCATATCATTCTCCTGCATTGGATGGCACACAGGTGTTCAGTATTAAATGAGACGATGGTTCTGTAGTGGAAGAAAAAGAGTTCCCGTATTGGATGAGGGTTCCGTGTAGGATTCAGCGAAGGTTCTGAATTGCGTGCGTGAATGTGTATCGGCCCGGTGATTTCTGTACCACACGAGAACACGGTCATGCATCTGATACGGCAAACCCTTCGTCTGGTTAGGATGCCTTTGTTCAGCTCATAAAATGCTGACCAATTTCATGCAATCATGCACAGTAATAATAAACCTACACACCCTATTACAACACCCTATTAAACACCATTGTCATGTACATGCCGTTGTTAATAACTAATTGCTATTTCGCGACTGCTTTCTTATTTTATTAATATTATGCTTGTTTACGCAGGAAAGCGTTACTATACCTCAACTATTTTTTTTAATGAGGATCCTGTTATGGTTTCGCAGTTAGGGGACGATGTCGTTGCTGCTATGTGTACTTGAATCCCAATTGAGTAATTTTACTGGTTTTGTTTTTCGGCATTTGGGATGTTTCGGCCAATGCCAGTTGCATTACTCTTTGGTTTTTTTAGTTTTTGTTGTAGCTGTGTGAGAAAAAACCAGAGGACCTGGGAGAAACCCATTCAGAACATGTGGAGAACATGTTAAGAACATACAGAAAGGCACTCGAGTCAGGGAATCGAACACGGGCTCTTGTTGCTGTGAGGCGCAAGTGTTATGCGCCACCCTGCCATATTAACACCGATTGTTGAACATTAAAAAAAACTCGTTATGCGTTGGTGTGAAGCATTATGGGGGGGGGGGGGGGATAATTAATTAAATTTCGCTCCCTTCATTTACTTCATTGCCCATTATTGCGCCACTACAGCGCATCATCAGCCTGTTTACACGCTTTCTATTAACTCTGTCTGTTGTTGTTGTATCCTCAAATCTTGTAACTCAATTTTAACCCACTTCCCAATGTGGTATCGACTGCAAACTTGGTATACTTATGTCGTACTGATGACAATACTATATTCTATCATTAAAAATAAAATAAAATAAATATATATATTTTTTTACATTATTTTTTACATGTTATGTTTCGGCTTGGGTTTAATTGTCCACGCTCAGCTGACGTTGGCTGTAAATCACCACGGTCCCCTTACGTTGTGGCGAGCTTCGGGGCCACTTCCTGGAGTCGTGGAGTTCTTCCATTATTCGTACGGTACATCTTCTTTGGTTCTTTCGGTAAAGTCACGTAGAATGAGAATAAAATAATAAATTGATAAAATAAAATAACGCAATAAAATTCTCACGACGTTTCGGCCACAACACAAGCGGCCTTCATCAGGTGAAGGGACGAGACTGTCTGGAGGACAGCGCTGGAGCGAACAAAGCCACGTTCAGATTGCGATCTTTAAGCTGTGTGAGAAGAAACAAAGCGCCTTGACAAAGGAATTGTCTCGTCCCTTCGCCTGATGAAGGCCGCTTGTATTGTGGCCGAAACGTCGTGAGAATTTTATTGTGTTATTTTATCAATGTATTATTTTATTCTCATTCTACGTGACTTTACCGAAAGAACCAAAGAAGATGAATCCTTGCAGTCACGAAAGCTTTAAATCGAAATTTGGTAGGGTACATTTCATTAAAGCGTGTTCTTTAAAAAGTTTTTTTGTTATATTATTATTTGTGTTGACTTAGGACCCTTTTAGGTAGACAGAGCCGTGCGCTTGCCAGTAACATCTGGCAACACAGCAGCGGTATTTATTTCAAGTTTAATTTTTTCATTTATTTGGTACAGCCCTGTGAGCCATTCGGCTCTTGAATCGGGTGCAACCGCAACAAACAAAAAACAAAAACATGAACAAGAAAACATCTTAAAGTGACTATGTGACTGTGCAAAACAGAAAATCCAGGAAAAAACAGCAAAATATTCCTGAAAAAGCACCGTACACCAACGCTGTGTGCAAAAATCCCAGTGGGATGCAAGTCAAACAACAATAACCACAAGACAACTTAGATTAAGGCCATCATTTTAACTCCGTACTACAACAAACAAACATGGCCAAACCAAAAAACTTTTCGACATCACCAAAATAAAGCCATCAAAGCAATGTAACAGTGACCATAGGAACTTTAACAAACATGACTGCTGATGGAATTCTGAAGGTTGAAATACTTGCCTGAGAGATGGATGTGTGTGCTACTGTGAGTAACGTTTGTCTGGAAGGCCGCTAAACGCTGAACCACCGCTCCGCCCTCATGTCAACTTACTTCAGTAAAACTGTGGGGTAATTTTGATGAAAGAAGTGGAGTCTGCCCTTCTGATTAGTGATACAGAACCCAGCCTTGCCCCGTGCCGTACAGATTTCGGCGTGACAGAGGAGGCTACC